TCAGCCAGGACTGTACATGCTTTATCAACAGTATTGAAGGCTGACAGAAAGACAGCTAGGATTTTCAGAAGGCCGGCACTGCTGTCTCCATGTGCTCGTGTCTGATTTAAAGGCAGTGGTTGCTTAGATCCACGACTCAGCAACCCCAGTACAACCTCGGGGTGATTTATTATAAAACTGATTTTACAGAAAAACTAAATTGTGTTTTGAGCGAGTGCAGATGTAATGCTGACATTGGAAGGTTTACCTCAAACTGCAGGTAGATAATAAGGACCCAAATTAACACCGCTGATTTTATTTTCACCCTAATATGAAAATGACTTGGCATCAGCCTCTGTACAGCAGATCTCAGAACAAGGAGGGAGAAGCAGTACAGCTGTTCCCCAGTGCCCACGTGACAGCAACAAACTTGTGGACATGATGAGAGAGCAGAGAGATCAGTCATCTATGTATTTCAGTCCAGGTACAGGCAGGGAGAGGGACAAGAATTTTAAGTGTTACCTAACTGTATCAGAGACAAATCAGGTCTCCTGCCAGACAGAGATCAGTAGAATGGAAGAGCTGTGCACAGCTTAGGACTGGATTGGCAGAACAAAAAAATCCTTTGGTAGAAAACCCAACGCCCATATCTATATACAGATGTGTATTTAGCATTGTACCTGGAATTCAAGAATAATGCCAGGGCACGCAACAAAGGCAGATATCTAGGTAATGGCTGGAAATAATCAATAATAATGCATTCCAGGTCATCTCCATGTTTGTGTGATGTGGACATGTGTTGATACCTACAGGAAAATCAGTCCTCGATATGGCTGTGTTAAACCTGAAGAAGGCACGAAGACAAACCAGCTTGAACCACAGCACAAGGGAGAGTGCCTGTTCTATAAAACCTCAGGTTTAGCGTTCACTCGGATCTTTCCACGAACAGATGCGATTCACAAATATATTCCTTGATCTCGAGGGACACTAAGCAGGAACTTTTTGGGTTAGGGTTTTAAGGAGAGTGCAATCAAGAGGTTGCACACCCCTGCTACGTATGCTAAACTGTCATGGGCGATGAAGAGGGGAAAAAAATAATGCTGGGAGTAAGAGCATACTGACATATCGGCAAGTCTCCCAAACCCAGGGCCTGCCGTCTGACAGATAAAGGCGCGTGTGTGTGTGTGTGCTTGCACCTGAGCCATCTTTATGATAGGCAGTCCTTATTGCCCTACAGGAATGTTTAGGAGGCAGCTTTGTCTGTCAGAATGACCAGTCCCAGTCAGGAAGCGTGCTACAGGTATGCACATGTACCTCAGGGTTGCACTTACACTTTAATCTGCAATAGTTTGGCCTCTTTCCTCCCATGACAGTCTTCTTAGGCCTTCCTGGAAGGCTGGAAGTTTTGTTTTTGAGGGATAAGAATGTAAAAAAAAAAAGCTGCCACAGTATCTCTCATGACACCGATGAGAGCATGAAAATTAACCTTTAATTCAATAAGCATCCACCAAAGACAGATTGGCTTCACAGTTTCAGTTCACACA